ATCTTAACAGATATCAATGAATGTAACTTTAATCACTTGAACCTGTGTGACCAGAAAGACAAATGTGTCAACACTGGAGGTGGTTACAATTGTTCTTGTCTTCCTGGCTACTTTCTTGATAACAATGGCCGCTCTTGTGTTGGTAAGAAGTTATTGAGATATTACTTAGATTTCTAGGTTTATGAACTTGCATTTGATTGGTTCTAAGACGTTTCTTAATCATTAAAATGTAATTGAATAATTATTTTAATAACTATTTTACTAAAATATAGGTAATATAAAAACTTAAAATGTTTTTGTAGGGAGAAAAGGAAATATATTAATACTGTAGTTATAATTACCAATTGAAGGCTTAACTCTTTATATATTTAAATATTGATAACTATTTGAAGGTTTACAAATAACAGCCAAAACATTTTTTTAAAACTTGATGGAAAATATTTGTGTGAGATATAAATATTTTCAGGTAATTTTTTTACAATAACAGTTTTGATGAAATAAAAAAAGAGCATGTGAAAGAGCATAAAATAGATGAAAGTATTATCACCAACATTTGGCTCAGTCTGATACTATATTTGAGATTGGTAATTTTCTCAGAACCATAAATATTATTTTATTCCATTGAGTTCTTCTGTACTTCCCTTGATCTACACAGCCTGTGCTCAAGGTAAATGGGGACCTGAATGTAGCAATGACTGTGCCTGTGGTACTGGTGCTGAGAGCTGTGACCCTGTTAGAGGATGTCTCTGTAAACCTGGATTTGCTGGTTTGTTTAAGAATTTAATTATTTTGTGTCAACTTTTCAATTATTTTTACTTCACACATGAAGAATTTCTTTTTACTTAACAAAGTTTAAAAAATCATTTCTGACATTATTTCCATGTTTGTTGTAACCATAGGAACACACTGTGACAGAGATGTAGATGAGTGTTCTACTGGTCTCCTTATCTGTCAGGCTGGGGAAAAGTGTGTCAACAGTTTTGGCAGTGCCAGTTGTCAATGTTTTGAAGGATACAGTAAATTAGATGGAACATGTCAAGGTAAATTCTTTTGTCAAGTCACTCTTTATTTATAATAATTGATGGACTGCATTCAAGTTGTGTAAATGAAATATAAGAACAAGGTATGTTAAACTTGAATTCATAAACAGGACAAAAGATTTTGACATTTGGGCTTAGAGCCTTCATCAGAAAACAAGACAAATGATTTATAACAAGTATCAGATCACAACAAAAAAACTTAAGAGATTTCTTTTTTGTTGCCGGAAGTAGGATTACAGAAAGTGAAATAATATATATATTGGTACTGTGAAAAATAAGATAGGACCTTAACGGACCAAAATATTTAGGTATACATAAAATCTAAGGAATAAGAAAAAAAAGAAGAAATACAGGGAAATTGAGAAACATTAGTTAGAGAGTATTTGATTCATACCATGTGGAGATATTTCACTCTTTATTTAGGACCTTTACCTGAAAAAGAGTTTAATTTTTTTTTAACCAGAATTGGGATTTTTATTGACACCCCAAGGAGCAGAAATTATATTTAAAATTCATACATTCTCAGAAATGTGCGTCTGTACAATAAATTAGAAAATAATAAAATGCATATAAAAAGTTAATCCTGTTAGTTTAATTTTGTACTAAATTATTTGTATTATGGGAAAGCACAACTGAAATTGCACTTTGAGTGCTAAAAGAAATATTAAATAAACCGAATGGATTCAAACTTCATATTAAGCTCAACCTCCAAACTTTAAATATTATCTACCAAAGGAATATTTTTGATAATATAAAAGTTTTTTAAAATCTTTTTTTTTTGCATTAACAAGTTTTATTTTTGCTTTTATTTGTATTACGTTTGAGAGGATGTCGTACAAATGTTTTATTGAAGCAAATTATGGTTATACTAGATATGATCACTTTTAAAATATTACCTATCTATAATTTGTCATGTTATATATTACCTCAAATACAAATAAAATATTCTATCAACTTGCATTCCAGACATCAATGAATGTTCCAGCTACCTGACCAATGAATGTGACCAAGTGTGTGACAACTTTGTGGGTGGTTTCTCCTGTTCTTGTCACCCTGGATACAAGTATTTGAACAGAGCATGTACAGGTAATGCTGGTTGACTTAGTCAAGTATCTCATCATGTAACCCCATGTGTTATATAGGCCAATTTCTCTATATAAATATCATCACAGAGGTTTTAACTTGTGTATTGAAATGAATTTCAACAATTAATGATGCATTCTGTAATAATCAACATTTTTGGCCTGGTCAAGCTAACAAGCTGATATTAACTTGAGGAATTTCCCTCGGACAACTAAACATTATTGACATTGTACGGACAACTAAACATTATTGACATTGTACGGACAACTAAACATTATTGACATTTTATGTTAACTGATAGTTTATTTATCTAATTTAAAATTATTTTTTTTTAGACATTGATGAGTGTAAACTGAACTTGGATGGCTGTGAACAAAATTGTGACAACACCAATGGTGGATATCATTGCTCTTGTAGTGATGGACTTAAGCTGGGTGTGGATGGAGTCAGTTGTGTTGGTAAGGCTGGGTGTGGATGGAGTCAGCTGTGTTGGTAAGGCTGGGTGTGGATGGAGTCAGTTGTGTTGGTAAGGCTGGGTGTGGATGGAGTCAGCTGTGTTGGTAAGGCTGGGTGTGGATGGAGTCAGTTGTGTTGGTAAGGCTGGGTGTGGATGAAGTCAGTTGTGTTGGTAAGGCTGGGTGTCGATGGAGTCAGTTGTGTTGGTAAGGCTGGGTGTGGATGGAGTCAGTTGTGTTGGTAAGGTTATCTCATTCAAATGGGGTGTAGGATATATTTAAGAAAGTAGCGATTAGTAAAAAGTAAATTATTTTAAAGCAAAATTTCACTCAGAGATTAACTATATTTAATCAAATGTAACAAAATATCTTATAAGATATTTTATGCATAATAATACAGGTAGGTGAAACTATATGTTGGAATTATTTTCTTATCATTACATTTTGAATAAATGATTATAAATGCTGATCAGAGCTTTGTTGAATCTTTTTGTTCATTTGCAAAAGAAATACTGTGTATAGTTAAGAATTAGAAATACCTACTTCCTTTCTCAGTGATTGATGTATGTGTACCAAACCCTTGTTCTGACAAATGTGCTGTAGTCAATGCCAACCCAGTCTGCTTCTGTCCTAAAGGGAAACAATTTGATGCTTATAATAAGTCATGTATTGGTAAGTCTTGTCAAAATCAGGGAAATCTTTCAATTATTCAATTAAAAATTGTGTTTTTAAGTCTAAAAAAAATGTGTTTAAAGAGTTTGTTTTTTTTGAATAGAAATATCAATAAAATTGAAAAAGGACATGCATTTATAATTATGAAGTTATTTATCTACAGTTAATGCATTACAAATCCAGATTCTGTCAACAGTTTGTAATAATAAATATAAGTATAGTATATAGGAAACAAAGAGAGTAAATATAAATGAATGTTGAATTAGTAAATATTTTATAAGTTCTTCTTTGCTTCTCTAACCAAACTTTCATGGAGAGGATTACCTTGGTAGAGGGGGTGAAATTATATATGTATTATATTATATATATATATTACAAGTTCTTCTTTGCCTTTTGGCTAAGAGTTTATTGTAGTATCTGTTCCCTTAGGTTACCAAACTTTCATGGGTGGGTTGTGATATCTTGCTTTTTGTCTGGCATAGCCAGGAAGATTGATAGAATAAATGAGAGAGCCACAAGGGCCAAGAGACCTGCAATGGCAGAGTTGTTAGAGAAGTACATCTGGATGATACCCCCTACCCAGGAAAGCATATTTTGCAAGTCTATACAAGCTAAACAAGACAACATTTTCATCTTTCATTATGATTGTTGAATCAATATTTGAGGCATTTCCACTGTAGGAAAGTCACCTTTTTTTTGTATAAAACAAGGGATTTAGAAATGGATTTAACAATATTTGAAACTAATTTCAAACCATGTTTCAGATGCTGACATGTGTCTAGGGAACTCTTGCTCTGATGACTGCCAGGAAACAAATAATGGGTCAAGTTTTCAGTGTACCTGTCCCAATGGGAAAAAACTGGCAGCTGATGGTATAACATGTATAGGTGAGGCCTTGTTTGAGGTCCAGGTGCATTTGGAGTTGATCTCTATGCTTATGGCATAAACAGTTTTTATTATTAAAAAAAAGTTCATTGGGGCCATGTATGAGGACAAATTTTATATTAAGGGACATGATTGGTTGATATATCTTAATGTGTCAAGTAATCTTGTGTAATTTAAAACTGAATGCTTCCCAAGAAATTTAATAACTTTCCCTCCTTCAGGCAAATTACCTTCACTTTTAAGGGAGTAAACATAGACTTACCTTTAGGCTCCAACTTTGCAGAAATTATTTTTTTATCATTCATTCACAATTTTGAGAGTGAACATTTTTTTTTTGTGCTCAAAAAGATTAGCATTTTGCAAAGTGATTGCCACAAATGCCTATAAGAAATGTTATCTTTTAAAAAATTGTATCCAATATTTTTGTAATTTAATCTATTTTAGACTGTCTAAGTGGTACTTACGGATTGAACTGCAGTAAAAAATGCTCCTGTAATGCAACAAACACTGATTCCTGTGACAAGGTTTGTTTCATCTAATCAATAATAGCGTTTTATTATTTGGTTATTAACACACTGAACAGGACAATGAAAGTTAATAAAATAAAATATCTGACGTTATTAATTTTTCTTTGATACCAAGGTACACATTAATTTAAAATTTTTTATTAAATTTAATTTGGATTTCTGAGAATTTGAAAGATTTAAAAAAAATGTTATTTCAGTTTTTATATTATATTAATTACTTTTTAATAAATATTTTCAAACATGAAATATGACTCTTGTAACCATGCTGTTTGACACATGATATGTCACATTCTACAAATCTTATTCTTTATTTCACATTATATGTTAATTTTTTTTAGACAACTGGAGAGTGCATATGTAAACCAGGTTGGCTCTCAGCCACATGTGATGTAGACAATGATGAGTGCCAAGTAATACCTACCTCCTGTCCATCTCCATTCAAATGTATTAATGTCCCTGGGAGTTTTGTGTGTAAATGTAACTCTGGTTACTACTCTTCAAATAGCCAGTGTCTCGGTAATTGCATTATCTTATGATTTGACATCAGGCTAGCTTATTTGGTGTAGAATCTTTGTTCATTTTTTTCTTTATAATATGTTATGTAGTATTTAGGTCTACAATTTTGTATTTAGATTCATTTTAATAATGTAGTATTTATATAAGTACAAACAGTGTTGTTTTTTTTCCTATTTACACCATAATTCTTCTAATTTTTTAAATTTATAATTTTAGCATGCTCTGACAACACATTTGGAGAGGAATGCCAAAACCAATGTCAATGTGATCTGTCACACAGCTCTTGTGACAAAGTGACAGGTTACTGTACATGTCATACTGGGTGGACTGGGACTCATTGTGACAAAGATAACAATGAATGTGACAGCACTGATAATATTTGTGTTACAGAAAAAAAAAAACATTGGGTGAGAATTTAAAGACAATAGTTTGCTGACTTTTTTTCTTTCAATTATTGATATTGCTTGTTAAGGAAAATTGCTTGAGCTCTTATAAACTATTATTGTTAAAATGAAATTGATTGTTGTTTATTTGCTTTTGGTTGCATGAGCATAGTCAGATTATAATGATGATCTTTCACTGACCTACATTTTAAAAATTATATTCAATTTTTTTTAAATTTCAGATCTGCATTAACTCCCCCGGATCCTACAAATGTGACTGTGCCTCTGGTTATAAGAATAATGATAACACCTGTGTTGGTGAGGGACATTTTTTATTATGTTATTATTGATTATTTAAAGAAAGATAATAAATTACGGCTTTAAAATTTTAAGTAATATATATGGCATCCTTCCGTCTATGTACACTTCAATGAATGGCTCACAAGCCAATCCGGGAATGGAGTAATTAAAGTGGAGAGAAAGGATGATGCTTAGCAAAAATTTTAGGTTTTGAAATGTTAATTTAAGTGGTATTTTAATCCATAAAGTTATAAAAATGCACTCATACCTGAAAATAATTTTATATTGATTTGAACAAAAATCATTTTAGATAAAAAGATTTGCTCAATCTTAACTTTAAATTAAGGTTGAAGGCAAAACAATTCAAAAGCCAAAAATGTATATTTTTTTTTTTTCAATGGCAACCTTTTAAACAATAAATGACATTCCTCATGTCCCTTAGTCCTTGGACCGTTAGGCAACCCAGATGACATGTGAACCATCCTCCTTCATTCCTCTCTGTCTTCTGCACTACGCACTGCATCGCCCAGTGTTAGTCCTGTCCACTCTTTGATGTTATCCTCCGATCTGTTTCTTTGTCTTCCTCTTCTTCTCCCTCCTCTTGTGGTGCCCTGCAATATTTCTTTGGCAAGCCCTTGTATGTTTACTTGTTACGTGGCCGTACCATTGTAGTTTGCATTTTTTCACAGTCACCAGTAGGTCATCGTACTCCCCAATTGCCTGATGAACCCTTTCTTTCACTGTATCATTGGGGATATGGTCCCTACAGCAGATGCCAAAAATGACATTAAAAAATGGCAAAATAGATAGAACAAAGTTATTAATTTGAAGTTAAATAATTTAACATATTTCATATAAGTTATAAGACAAGTTGATACACATGTTCTACACTGAAGATAGTGTTCTTGTTATGAAATGTTTTCTATTACTTGTCCTACAGACCTGGATGAATGTGCTGGAGATTTCAGCAATGAATGCGATGGCACCTGTAGCAATACAGAAGGCAGTTACACATGTGTTTGTGGGGCAGGCTATAAACTGGCCTTAGATGGTCATACTTGTCAAGGTAAGCCCATGCCAGGCTATAAACTGACTAACAGGGTCAGACTTGTCAAGATAATTTTGCTATAAATAACTAGGGATCTTGTTATGTGATGTAAGAATATTATAAGATTAACTAGACATCGTGCCATGTAAGGTGAGACTGTTATGTCTAACGAGGAATCTTGTTTTATAAGGTTAGATTGTTATAAGTTAAACTAAGGTACCATATTTTAAATATGTTATAAACAAATTTTCATGTTTTAATTTAAGGTTTGACATTTAACAATTTTTAAAAAAAAATGATAATTGATTTATCAAGAAATGTCAAAGTATCTTAAAGAAATCTCATAAACAAATATCATAACTCTCAAAAGACTGTAGATTTGTCCATTTTTAATGACCTTGAATATATCTTATTCTTCACTGTGTCTCATGGCTGTAATTTTGTAGCTACCTACAAGTGTTATATATCATTTTAAAGGTAATTAGATGCTCTTTAATTGATATTTGGTGTTTGTTCAAAATATCCTTGCTAAATTTTATTATTTATTAATTTTGGGCAACAAAAAAAAAAATTTTAAGTGGACAAAAACATAACATCACATTTTTTACAAAGAAGGAAAAAAAAAAGTGTTTCCAAATATATCAATAAAATTGATATTTTATTAGAATGTGTTCAATACTACGAAACATATTCAAATTTCAAAAGAATAGACTCATAAATAAAAAAGTTATGACTATTTGTTGGCAACATAACATATTCAAGGAAGTATAGCTTTGAATATGTCCTTAGAACTAATGGCCTTGCTCGCTGTCTATCATAAAAGGATTTCCTGGTCATTTCTTGTAAAATTAAGAGCTTGATAAGTCCTGCATTCATAATAAATCCACTTTGTAGCGAAAACTCCCCTTCAATGATGTTATAATGGTAACAATTTTTGAAGACACAAAATTTCTGCGGCTATTGTCCTGCACACACTGCTTACTAATAACCAACCAAATCTGTAGAAAGTAGAGGTTGAAAATTTCTATTTGCTTTTGAAATTTCATTATATCCTCTCTTGTTTTACATCAGGAAGCAATAATGCTTTGTACCTCTATTCTAAATGCAGCAAAGTCCCACAGTCTTTTGTCATCATAACCCATTGTATTGACTGTGTTGGACATCTGCCCTTCATTTTCATAGATGCTGTAGTGTCAAAATATAAAAACAAAAAACATATTAGTTTAGCTAAAATAAAAATTTACAATATAAATAAAAAGATTTCTAAATATTCAACAATCTGCCTAAATTACTTTTACTTCAACTTTTCATTGAAAAGGGAACACAGCTGATTGTTACAGTTTAATAGCCTTGTTGGCCTTATACTTATATAAGCCATATAACTTATATTTATATGAATATGGCATTGTTTACATTTTGCTAACTGAAACGTAATAATGTTTAAAAAAATTTATAACTACAAATTAGTTTCAATTAAAACAAATAAATAATTTAATCTATTTAAGAATTTTATGCTACTAGAACTTAAATAAAACTAATATTAGGGCTAATAATAGTGGTAAGAAAATATCACAGTCACACTAGTCACAGTATCAGTATGCGTGAGTTGAGTATGAATGAAAAAAGTAAACAAACCTTGATAACTTACAGTTACAGAATTCTCAATATCAGACACATCTGAAGTGCTATCTTCATCAAAAATATTCCTCTAAGTAAGAATAATTGTCCATTTCAAGCTTATAATCAAAATCAGACTCCATAGCAATGTTTTAGTGTGTATAGTAACAGTGAACCGGAATAGTGGCAAAATATGAGTAAGTGGCAAAAAAGAAAATTTATGAATGGACAAGTTGCTACCAGATTTCTTCAAGAACTAGTAGTATAAAGGATTTTTTCTTTGTTGCCAAATAGAAATTTAACATTCCAAAATAGTAAATCTTTATTTTCGCCTTTTAATATTATTTTTACATATATTTTAGGGATTGTTTTTTTCACCCGCCATATATGACCGATTTTTCAATCTCTCGTCTTTTGAGAGATAAACAAAAAGAATCCTTTTTGCTTAACTTTATTTTTTCTTAAGTCATTTGTGGCGGATTGTCGTTGTCTAAGAATAGGTTCACAGTGGAAAAAAGTATCTCCTGTCCACAATATGAAGATGCACTCTACTCATCAAAATGATAACTCATTTAAAAAAAATGTCTTCTTGTTGCTCATAACAATAATTACACACGACTTCCCCACATGTTTTTGTTTCCAAATACCACCAATGTCATAGATCATAGATCATACAGCATACATAACATGGTTAAGTAAAATTCGTGGGATATAAGGGGAAATAACTAAAGGGAAAAACAATATTGCTCACTCACACATCTTCTATTGCTCTCATCTCACTAGACATTGACGAGTGCCAACTTGGCACCAGTAGCTGCCAACAAAAATGCACCAATGACATTGGAAGTTTTTCATGCTCATGTGAAGCAGGTTATGAAAGGGATGAAACTAATCTAAAAAAATGTTATAGTGAGTAATAATAAATGATTATTAATCTTATTTCTTTTTTTTAGTTAGCATATTTATTTATATTAGTTGCATTATTTTTATATTGCCTATTGTACTATCATCCTTATTAAGCCCGTAATCATCCAGAGAGGAAAACTTTGATACAACAGCTTAGTCTTACACAACACCTTTTACTTAAGATTTAAGGAGCCTTGATATACTCTAAAATATATTTAGCTAGTCATTTTAATTATTTTAAAGCTTCTTGTTTAAAATAGAGACAGACCGAAAGTGATTTTCTGATTTTGACCGAAAATAGGCCGAAAATTTTAAATGACTTCCGGCCGAAACCGAAAAAAGGCCGAAAGTTAAAAATGAATTTCGGCCGAAACCGAAAATGAAATATTAAGATATTTTGAAATTCGTTCCCGCATACATTCTGCATACATTGAAAATGATGTGGGAAAGTATAAATACTTACATTCTTTTTATAAAAAATGAGATAATCGTAAATATTAATAAATAAACATCTAATATAGTGGTCTCAAACTCGCAGCCCGCGAGCCATTTGTGACCCGCAAGACGATATTTTGCAACTCGCTACATGACAGAAAAGTTTAGTGTAAATGCGCCGGCCCATTTCCCTCATTCTCATATCTATAACGTGACTCTCCGCGACAGTTTCAGTCGAATCTCACCGACTAGTCTAATTCTGATTTTTTAAAAAATGTTTCTATATATTTTTGTATGCCAGGTCTCTGGCAACAGTGAGTAGGTGGATGAA